CCTTGATGACTGGGGACATCCCGGGTTCTTGGGGACCCATCTTGGTGATTGGGGACATCCCAGGTGCTCAGGGACCCAGATGGGTGCCCTGGACCCCCCCTGGGTGCTGGGCACAGCCCTGGCTGCCACGGGACAGTGGATGACCATGCTTTCACCCCCATCTCCACCCCAGATGTGACCACCCCACCCACCCAGGGGGGTTGGGTGCCACCCAGCACCCACCTCTCCACGAAGATGCCGGCCTGGACGGCGTGAACGATGCTGCGGAACTTGGGCTTCTCCTCCGCCCGCCGGCCCTTGGCTCGTGCCTGTTGGGTGAAGGTGGCCGCCAGCCAGTCCCGCACTTCCGAGGGCACCGCCGCGTCCGAGCCCATCTCCCGCAGCTCGTCCTCCGTGTCCAGCATCTGCCTGCGGGTGGGGGAAGGTGGCATCAAGGTGGGCATCGTCACCCGTGTCACCCTGCCACCCCACTGGCCATTGGCCAGTCCCACACTTCCAGGGGCACCCCCACGTCCCAGCCCATCTCCCACAACTCGTCCTCCATGTCCAGCATCTCCCTGTGGGATGGGGATGGGGAAGGTGGCATCAAGATGGGCATCATCCCCAGTTGTCCCCGTGCCACCCCACCAGCCAGTCCTGCACTTCCAGGGGCACCCCCACGTCCCAACCCACCTCCTGCTGCTCGTCCTCCATGTCCAGTAGGGATTGGGATGGGGACAAGGAGGGGATGGCATCAAGGTGGGCATTGTCCCCTCTGTCCCCCTCCACCCCACTGGCCAGCCCTACACTTCCCAGGGCACCCCCACGTCCCAGCCCATCTCCCACAACTCGTTCTCCACGTCCAGCATCTCCCTGTGCGATGGGGATGGGGATGACGAAGGTGGCATCAAGATGGGCATCATCCCCGGTTGTCCCCCTGCCACCCCACCAACCAGTCCTGCACTTCCAGGGGCACCACCACCTCCCAGCCATTCTTCCACAGCTCAAGCTCCACGTCCAGCAGGGATTGGGATGGGGACAGGGAAGGTGGCATCAAGGTGGGCATCGTCCCCCGTGTCCCCCTGCCACCCCACCAACCAGTCCTGCACTTCCAGGGGCACCCCCACGTCCCAGCCCATCTCCTGCTGCTCGTCCTCCATGTCCAGCAGGGATTGGGATGGGGACAGGGAAGGTGGCATCAAGGTGGGCATCGTCCCCCGTGTCCCCCTGCCACCCCACCAACCAGTCCTGCACTTCCAGGGGCACCCCCACGTCCCAGCCCATCTCCTGCTGCTCGTCCTCCATGTCCAGCAGGGATTGGGATGGGGACAGGGAAGGTGGCATCAAGGTGGGCATCGTCCCCCGTGTCCCCCTGCCACCCCACCAACCAGTCCTGCACTTCCAGGGGCACCCCCACGTCCCAGCCCATCTCCTGCTGCTCGTCCTCCATGTCCAGCAGGGATTGGGATGGGGACAGGGAAGGTGGCATCAAGGTGGGCATCGTCCCCCGTGTCCCCCTGCCACCCCACCAACCAGTCCTGCACTTCCAGGGGCACCCCCACGTCCCAGCCCATCTCCTGCTGCTCGTCCTCCATGTCCAGCAGGGATTGGGATGGGGACAGGGAAGGTGGCATCAAGGTGGGCATCGTCCCCCGTGTCCCCCTGCCACCCCACCAACCAGTCCTGCACTTCCAGGGGCACCCCCACGTCCCAGCCCATCTCCTGCTGCTCGTCCTCCATGTCCAGCAGGGATTGGGATGGGGACAGGGAAGGTGGCATCAAGGTGGGCATCGTCCCCCGTGTCCCCCTGCCACCCCACCAACCAGTCCTGCACTTCCAGGGGCACCCCCACGTCCCAGCCCATCTCCTGCTGCTCGTCCTCCATGTCCAGCAGGGATTGGGATGGGGACAGGGAAGGTGGCATCAAGGTGGGCATCGTCCCCCGTGTCCCCCTGCCACCCCACCAACCAGTCCTGCACTTCCAGGGGCACCCCCACGTCCCAGCCCATCTCCTGCTGCTCGTCCTCCATGTCCAGCAGGGATTGGGATGGGGACAGGGAAGGTGGCATCAAGGTGGGCATCGTCCCCCGTGTCCCCCTGCCACCCCACCAACCAGTCCTGCACTTCCAGGGGCACCCCCACGTCCCAGCCCATCTCCTGCTGCTCGTCCTCCATGTCCAGCAGGGATTGGGATGGGGACAGGGAAGGTGGCATCAAGGTGGGCATCGTCCCCCGTGTCCCCCTGCCACCCCACCAACCAGTCCTGCACTTCCAGGGGCACCCCCACGTCCCAGCCCATCTCCTGCTGCTCGTCCTCCATGTCCAGCAGGGATTGGGATGGGGACAGGGAAGGTGGCATCAAGGTGGGCATCGTCCCCCGTGTCCCCCTGCCACCCCACCAACCAGTCCTGCACTTCCAGGGGCACCCCCACGTCCCAGCCCATCTCCTGCTGCTCGTCCTCCATGTCCAGCAGGGATTGGGATGGGGACAGGGAAGGTGGCATCAAGGTGGGCATCGTCCCCCGTGTCCCCCTGCCACCCCACCAACCAGTCCTGCACTTCCAGGGGCACCCCCACGTCCCAGCCCATCTCCTGCTGCTCGTCCTCCATGTCCAGCAGGGATTGGGATGGGGACAGGGAAGGTGGCATCAAGGTGGGCATCGTCCCCCGTGTCCCCCTGCCACCCCACCAACCAGTCCTGCACTTCCAGGGGCACCCCCACGTCCCAGCCCATCTCCTGCTGCTCGTCCTCCATGTCCAGCAGGGATTGGGATGGGGACAGGGAAGGTGGCATCAAGGTGGGCATCGTCCCCCGTGTCCCCCTGCCACCCCACCAACCAGTCCTGCACTTCCAGGGGCACCCCCACGTCCCAACCCATCTCCTGCTGCTCGTCCTCCATGTCCAGTAGGGATTGGGATGGGGACAAGGAGGGGATGGCATCAAGGTGGGCATTGTCCCCTCTGTCCCCCTCCACCCCACTGGCCAGCCCTACACTTCCCAGGGCACCCCCACGTCCCAGCCCATCTCCCACAACTCGTTCTCCACGTCCAGCATCTCCCTGTGCGATGGGGATGGGGATGACGAAGGTGGCATCAAGATGGGCATCATCCCCGGTTGTCCCCCTGCCACCCCACCAACCAGTCCTGCACTTCCAGGGGCACCACCACCTCCCAGCCATTCTTCCACAGCTCAAGCTCCACGTCCAGCAGGGATTGGGATGGGGACAGGGAAGGTGGCATCAAGGTGGGCATCGTCCCCCGTGTCTCCCTGCCACCCCGCTGGCCACCAACCAGTCCTGCACTTCCAGGGGCACCACCACCTCCCAGCCCATCTCCTTCAACTCGTCCTCCATGTCCAGCAGGGATGGGGACAGGGAAGGTGGCATCAAGATGGGCATCATCCCCAGTTGTCCCCGTGCCACCCCACCAACCAGTCCTGCACTTCCAGGACCACCCCCACCTCCCAGTCCATCTTCCACAGCTCGTCCTCCATGACCAGCAGGGATTGGGATGGGGACAGGGAAGGTGGCATCAAGGTGGGCATCATCACCCATGTCTCCCTGCCACCCTGCTGGCCACCAACCAGTCCCACACTTCCAGGACCACCACCACCTCCCAGCCCATCTCCTGCAACTCATCCTCCATGTCCAGCAGGGATGGGGACAGGGAAGGTGGCATCAAGGTGGGCATGGTTCCCCATATCTCCCTGCCACCCCGCTGGCCACCAGCCAGTCCCACACTTCCAGGGGCACCCCCATGTCCCAGCCCATCTCCTGCAACTCGTCCTCCACGTCCAGCAGGGATGGGGACAGGGAAGGTGGCATCAAGGCGGGCATCGTCCCCCACGTCCCCCTGCCACCCCACTGGCCGCTGGCCAGTCCCACACTTCCAGGGGCATCTCCACGTCCCAGCCCATCTCCCACAGCTCGTCCTCCATGACCAGCAGGGATTGGGATGGGGACAGGGAAGGTGGCATCAAGGTGGGCATCGTCCCCCATGTCCCCCTGCCACCCCACTGGCCAGCCCTACACTTCCCAGGGCACCCCCATGTCCCAGCCCATCTCCCGCAACTCATCCTCCATGTCCAGCATCTCCATATGGGATGGGGAAGGTGGCATCAAGGTGGGCATTGTCCTCTGTGTCTCCCTGCCACCCTGCTGGCCACCAACCAGTCCCACACTTCCAGGACCACCACCACCTCCCAGCCCATCTCCTGCAACTCATCCTCCATGTCCAGCAGGGATGGGGACAGGGAAGGTGGCATCAAGGTGGGCATAGTTCCCCGTGCCCCCCCTGCCACCCCGGATGCCCGCACCTGGTCTCATCGATGTAGACGGCCTCCAGCAGCGACGCGGCGTATTCCAGGTTCCTCTTCAGCTCCTCCACGTTCACCTCCCCCGTCTCCAGCTGCTTCACCATGTACCGCAGCCTGCGGGCACCGCGGCACCGTCACCCACCCCCCTCCCCTGGCACCGGGGTGGGCAGGGGGGGGGGGGC